ATATAAGCCCATATTAATAGACTAAAATATTATTCTAATTATAATACAATCATCAGGACACAGCAAGGAATATAAAGATAATAGCTAGATATATTTAAAGTTTTATTATAATACACATATTTTATTTTTTTTCAAATATACTTGTTTCAAGTAATTCAAAATATCATTTTTCATAACAACTAAATATATACAATGAGTACTTTTCAATTGTTTATCATATCTTGATATAAACTTGCCCAGGAATGCACAAAGTGTAGCATTGTGCACGACTCAATTGATACATAATATGTATGTTGTGTATAGTTTAGAATAGTTAGATTAAAATGTAGCTTTTTTCATTTGTATTGAATTTAAAAAAGTACAAATGTCGGTCACCCAATGTCTTCCAACCTTATTTACAGTCGTTGCGATTAGTAATATGTAATTGTCACTAGAAAACACAAGTTTACACCGTCAACTAGTAGTCTTTGGGCTGAGTATGTATGTGAGTTTGTATAGTTTGGATGATTATAGCAATTGAAACACGACTATCGCCACGTGTCTGATTTTACAATTGGAAAGCACCCATTATCTTCTCAACAATTTCGTATGTTATACGGATGCATGTCAGACGGTGATACCATCGTATCACTGAACGAGCGCGTAATTAATTTTTACAAATTATTTCTTCTTTAAAAAATTGCAAAAATCAGTAACGGCCTTTTGATGATTCTGCTCTATACGAATCAATTTATTCAACGACCGGAGATGCCTAGCTTTAATTGTCCGCTTGTTAACTTGTCTTTGTATTTCATCTGCTGCCTTCATCATATGTGGTACTTTAAGAGCACGAGCCGTTTCTATAACATTTAACGCGATATCGTATATATTTTGGCTTTTTATCATTTCATTCAATTTGAAATAATTTAATTTTTTCTTCTCCTTTTTCGATAAATATGGTGTATTATTTACGTTTATATTCTGTTTATTTTTCGATACATTGGAGTCAATCTTCTCTTCGCCTATTGATAATTGAATAAAATCTTCATTTGGTTCAAATTCTTTTGATTTAACCGGTGGCATAGGTGCAGTATTTAACGGTATAATCTCAGAAACCTGCGTTAGAGGATTTTTTATTGTTATTGTTATATCATCATAATTGCGATTAGTTAATTTGTTTGTCTCAAACGAAGTATTCACATTTGGTTCGTTATTTAATATCTCGTTATTCTGTTGATTATCGATTACGAAGAAATTATCGGAGTTGATATTCGGCGAGATGCAAGGTATCGCGGATGAGGTATCTGCAGTAGAGGTACATATGAGGTTTTCTTGGTTTACTATGTGACGTATTTCTGGCTCCTGTTGCTTTTCTGGTACGTGACGTATTTCTAATTCCGGCTGTTGCGAATTTTTAAACTTCTTTTCCTCCAACTCGATGCGTTGTAATAATCCATGTATATTCTCGGATGTGTGAGGTACAAACAGTTGATTATAAAGCAGATTAAGTCTAAGATAAGTTGCAGTGTCCAATTTTTCATTCGTTTGATAAAGTCCTGATTTGAATCTTCTCATTATGTCTTGAAATGTACGTACATAAATATTCGGTTCAGGCTCGGTATTGGTAATCACAAGAAGTTTAGTTTGCAAACGAAATAAGTTTCGACGTAAGCGATTATACGTTCCTCTGGCTTTTTTATTGTGCCCATACTGCTTGTAATGATTTTTCATTTTGATTTTTTCGGAGAACACAGATGTTAAAATCAATCGCGGATGATCCAGTTCTCCTATGTAGTGGATATAATGTCTGAAACGCATTTTATTTAATTGTGCTTCTCTTGATTGCAGCACGTTCAACATCTTCATACAACTTACAGGTAGATCCACGTCTATCCCATAATCTTTTTCATCCTCTGGGAGATTAAGCCAATATTTCAATAAGTCATACAAAGGCTCTATGTAATCTTTCATTGCTATTAATTGTAATGATAGCATTTTGCGATGGGTATAACCTATATTCACTTCAAATTTTATATTTGCTTTCGCCAGCAATACTGTTAAAAAATTCGGAGCAGTCTGCTGCTCTATTAAATTTCTTACCATAGTAAAATCTTTTTTTGTTTGTGAGAAGAATGTATTAAGAGTAGTCAAGACCATCCGTGCATTCTTGTCATTTTTATTGGAAAAAATACCACAAGAATATATAAGCTTGAAAAATTTTATATGATCCACTTTGATTGGTTTGAAATTTGTTTTTACTGTGGGCCAAATAAAAGGAGATTTTAAGTCATCTTTCGTTTGCGAGATATGCTCAATTTCTTGTGAAATTGGTGAAATATAGAAATTAATATTTGACGATGTGTCTACATTTACAGAAAATTCGTCTTCAGTAGTTGTTTTTTGTTGTGTATCAATAATATATTGTGGAATCAATGTTTCGTTTTCTGTCTCAGACAACGAGAGATCGAGCTCAGAATCAGATTCAGGATAACTTGACACATGAAGACTTGATGAACGGTATATGGGTCCATCTGTGTAATTTGTGACAGCAGCTGGAGTGGGAAAATTCTCAGACCATCGATATTCCCTGCATGTAGACGATTCGTGACCACGCTTAGTACAATTACAGCAATATAACAATCTCGATGGTTTCATCACATTACCCGGATCCTGCGGCATGCTATTCATGTTGGTCGTTTGATGATACCGTCGCCAAAGATCGGGACATTGATTTTGCTCGTGTCCTACTGAATCACACATAGTACAGTAAAGAACGCGACAATATTCACAAATGTTACGAAATGTGTTCTGCGGCTTACCACATGTCAGACACATCTTCTGTGGACATCGAACCTCTACATGGCCCTTCATGCCGCACATGTAACAAGATGGTAGTCTAAGTGGTGTTGGACAATCATACCGCCGATGGCCATCCTGCTGGCAGTTAGTGCATTTGACATTCCAGAATCTAAAACGTCTGCTAGGGGGACATGGCATTAAATCTTCATCCAGAATTGTCCACATTCGTGGATCCTTCGACATGCTTTGTTGCAACTCTCTAATATCGAAGTTTTCTTGACCGCGACTCAAATTATAATAATTTTTCATTTCTTCCGACATTGGCTCGAAAAACTCATTCGATATGTTTCTTTTCTCCTCAATATTGTTGGATTGTGACACAACATTTTGATTATTCTGCTGACTGGTGCATTGTCGCTTCTGTTTAGATTGATCATCAATCTCATTGTTGCATCGTCTCTTTCGATCAATTACTGGATTGTATGGCTCTATTACTGAACTTTTGTTTTGTTCTAAATGCGTAAAATATATATTATTACTTTTGTCAATATTTCGTTGCATTATTTGCAATTTTTTTCTTGATGTCACAGATATTTCTTGCTGAAGATTAGCATTTTTATTATTTCCTTTCAACGGTAAAATTTTTTTAGAATTTTGACTTGTATTTTCTGTCGATTTACTTCGTTGTTTTATCTCTGTATTTTTGGACAATTGTTTAATTTCACTTATGCTTTGAGCACCTCTTTGAATTGTTGTGCAATTCAACACAATATCTTCTATGATATCCTGTGTACCCATTGATATCTGGATACTTTTACTAGAATTTACAGTATCCTTATTATATGATTTAGAAGTAGTCTTGTTTTTGGAAGATGTATCTTGAAGATTACTCTGTGAAACTTCTAATTCGCAATTTTTTAATGGGGACGCTTTTAAATATGTCTTTAATGAAGCATCATTCCGATTTTTTAAAATCAAATCATTATTTATCCTAGAATTTGAACCATTTTCTTCATCAGAATCTTGCAAGTCTATAAGTGGTGGTTCTGGTTTCGGTGGAACAGGTACTTCAAATATGGATTCTTCAGAATCAGAACTGTCTTCCTCTTTATCCATTTGTTCAGTTAAAAGCAAACGTACCTTTTGTTTTATGTCTTTTGAAACAACATTATATTTTGAATATTCCATATTATTATCATTTTTATCAGGACTTTCTTTACATGCAGTTTTTGCATGTTTGGAAGATTTGTGTTTCTTGGAAGAATTTTCTTTCTTCTCTTTTTCTTGTACGACTGAAGGCTCTTCTGAACTCGTATTGCCATGTGCAGAATTCATTTCTCTACTCGACATAGTCTCAACTTGAACAAATTCTGACTGATGTGTAGAGGGCATCTTCTGAGAATCTGCTGAATATCATATACTTATATTATTGTATATCGATATTTTTGTAATGAAATTCTCTTTTAGAGCATTCAAATCATGTTTTATCGACATTTTGGACTTATTTTTAATTTTACTAGATTTACCTCCAGTTATCTTAGATGTCGAAGATTGTTCCAAATATTGTTCCCCTGATTCATATTGTATCTTTTTTGATTCAACATTCGTCTCAGTAGGCATGTTATCAAATTTGATTGTCCTCGAACTATCCGTGGTTTCTGATTCACCCTCGATATTCGATTCATAATAGATTTCTGCATACAGTCGAGCCTGTAACTCGCTATCATTAAAATTGTCGGTGTTGTAATAATCTGTAACATAAAAAAATAATTATTCACATTGTCGTTGCAAATAAATAATGTAACAAATCATAACTTTTAACAATTAAATTGTGATGAGATTTTTAACAATTGTTAGTTATTCACCGTCGAATGAATTGTTCTTTTCAATGTTGCCTGACATGATGCCTGTGAGTGTTTCTTATATTAATCCTGGAATAATTGAAACTTTTGAATGTAAGCGATTGAAAAATACGTGCCATTGAAAAATAACAAAAAAATTTGCAGCGAACAAAGATAATACTCGCAAGAATTGTGCACGTGGGTAGCAATATATCTCTTATAATCTTTATGTTCTTTGGTCTTTCGTTATAACCTATCTACAATAAAGCGAGGCAACATTTCCTGTGATATAGGTATAGCAACTGACGTGATTAAAAATTCCTAGGATGCATTCCACTCAACGCATTGAGCGCTCGCTGCTATTCTTCCAGATCTAAAATGCTAATTGGATGATCTAAAAGAATACACTAATAACAGCGAAATAACTCACTCAACTGTTGAGTCCGCTAAACGCAGTCAATCTGTATGCCCAGGGCCCCTATTCTTAAAAAGTATTGCATACGAAAACCTAAGGAAATGCTATAGTATATGTAACGCATACTATATTTCCTTAGTTTTTCGTATGCGATTCTTTTCAAAAATAGAGGTCCCAGATCCTCACAGCGCTTTGACCGAACGTTGATTGGTGAAAAACAATGGGGATAAATTTTACTCTCACATCAACTTTTCACCAATCAGCGCTTGGTGTCAAAGTTCTGATTAGTGACAGGGGTAAAAGTTACCTCACCTGTTTTTCAATTAACGTTCAATGTCAAAATGCTGTTGTCTGTATGAGGATTCAGAATAATATTTCATGGTACAACAAACTTTTTAAGTGTATTGCCCAGCAAACGAGAATGGATAAAAATGGATTGAAATTTTTTTCTATCCGAATGCGTATTTTAAATCGTATATAGTCGAATATTTTTTTTTGGATTTAATTGGATTCAATTGGATTTAATTCGATTCAATTGGATGTAATTGGATTGAAAAACTGCATTTCCTATTCAAAATTTTGAATTGAGTATTCACAATTATGTGTGTTGTGCACAGAAAAAAGCTAATATTATTTTTAGATTGAAAAGCATAGAGTTATGCTCCATGCAATTCCTATGAATAAAAATGAATAAAAATGCATTCAGGATTGAAAAGCATTCATTTTAACATTCGTGAATCAATATTTCTGAAAATCTGAATCTATTTCAATTCATTTCAATCCATACTCGTTTGTTGAGTGATTGATTGCAAAAATCCGAGAATCTCTCTGTTCTGCAGTTAATCAAAAGATTTGAAAAGCCTTGTCGTACGATATAAAAAATTAGCCTAGTAAGAATTAGCTTAGTAAGAATTAATCAATCACAGTCGAATGAGTAGAGAATAATTAATTATGATTGGTCAATTCTTATAGATGATGATGTAAGTTACCAGACTACAATCAGTATAATTTAGTACATAATCCTTAAGACCAATTAATGCACCAACTTACCAATAATTGCACCAACTTACTTTTGTTTTAAGTGAGGCTTAAAACTCTTTCTGTCTCTTTTTGGTTTTAAAACAAAACAGATAGAGTTTTAAGTCTCACTGAAAATCAAAGTGATGCAACCTAAGACTGTCAAATAAAGTTTTAAGCATCTTAAGACGCTAATATGGTTTTCTGATTGGTTCATGACATCTTAAGACAGTAAAATATAAAAATTGGCTATAATACTGACCTGTGACTGTGACTTTTATCATGTTAAGATTGTTATGAGATGGTTTTAAATGTATGACGCTAACTATGAATACTGGTCATAATGAAGATAAATGAAATATCGAATTTTGTTTAGAGCAGCGTAATTAATATACTTTGATGATAAATTCATTCTGCGAATGAGTTTATCATCAAGATGATAAATCATCAAGAAGATTAATTACGTTCAAACCATGGCTTGAATTGAGATTTTTAATACCTATCTTAAAATCATCTTATCTCTTAAAAATAATATAGAATAAATCTTCGGTTAAAAAAAGATTAATTAATCACGAGTGTAACATAAGAACATAGCTCTTATATTGCACAAGAATAAAATAGAATTTCTTATTTTTTTTAATATTAGAGTTACCGATTGATTTGCATATATTTTATATAAATTCTCTAGATCTAGCTGCAAATAGCATCGCAAAATCGTTTACAAAAATTTCTGACTATATATTGCTCGATAAATTAATTATTGGATAATACTATCTGAGTCTCTTTTTGTATCTTGTAGATAATTATGCGGGGTCTACAGTATGGTTGCAAACTCATTTTAAAGTCGTAAAAGCGGTTGCGATAGTCAATCAGAAGTCGTAACATTAACTAGGTTGCATTCAAAAACTCATTTAGGAACTTTGCTCGGATGCATCTAAGTATCATTTTATTTTTATTGTCACTGAAACAAAAGTCAAACAAAGATAAAATGATACAGGACACTCGAGTAAAGTTCTTGAACGAGCTCTTCTCTGATTGACTCTTCTGATTGGCAATTTTATTCTTGTGGCTTTAAAATGAGTTTGCGATCAATTTCTGTGTAAAAATTGAATAATTTGTATGTGATTTATAAGAAATTATAAATAATGTGATAATTATATTAAAATTTAAATTGAAAGATTGTACAATAAAATAACAATTTTAATAACGTTAAATTTCAATTCTGTTTTGCGTAGTTACTTAATGTGTAATAAATCATTGCAACAAATATAATATGAAGTAGTGCAGCAAAAAATCAGAGTTTGAAAAAGTTGAACTCTTTAGTTTATCCTACGTTTATTTAAAAAGTCTTATTGACCTTAAACTTCTCTTATTTATGCAATCAATTAATTTATTAACCCGTATCTTGCCTCGATAGAGCTAATTATTGATATATTATAGGATATTATCCTTGAGTATTTTTTTCCGAAAATCGGAATTTGAAATAATTTTGAAGAAATTTTGCAGACAAACAAATTGGACGAACAGACAGACAGAAACATTACAATATGGACGAACTAATATCTTGAAATTATGAAATATCATAATTTATTATGTTGTATTATTTAATAATGCATGGAGAAAACAACCAGGTATTTAAAGAACATGAGACTTAATTAAAAAAATTTTTTTTTATTGTAATGTTTCATCCATTGAAATATTCTTCGTTAATTTTTTCGTGCATTTGTATTATGCAAGTCTATGTACTTGAATATTGTCTTTCAATGCTAAATTCTATTTTTAAAGGAAACTCAGTAAGTGGTATACATCAACTACAGAATGTTGAATATCCTTTTGCGCATTCTTTACAACAACAGCATATGTTGCTTGCGTGTGAACCACAGCCATTATCATTCATCAACATCACACCAGATTCTCATTTCTTTCCATCTCGCTCGGTATCCATGATAGAACCTGCACCAGAACCATCAAGTAGTCAACTGCACAATCTGAGTTTCGAGAGGGATCAAAAGTTATTGGAAGTGGTTCAAGTCACAGAAAGCAATAAACATGAAGACAAAAAAAATCTTGAAAGTATTGAAAAGGATAAACAGAATTGGAAGGATAATAATCTAAAACTGTCGAACTTTGTAGCTAAACCTCACAATATCGCAGGGAAATTCAAAATAGGCATCACAGGTAAGATAAGTAAAAATTGTAAAAACCTAAAAAACTGAAGTTAGAAAAATTAAAATCGAAAATCTCAAGAGAATCAAAATTTATATAGAAGATAAGAAGTCGATATTCACAGTACATTCTTATTTTAAAACTATTTAAGTAATGTTTTAATTATATGGTAATATACGGCTCTGTGATTATTATATAATATATATTATATAATATATAATATATAAAGACTGTACTTAAGACGGTCTTAAATACAAGATGAAGACTGCGTTAATTCAAGATTGAAAAAAATTTCGATGCGTAGTTTGTAGAATGAGATATTATAAAATATAAATTCGTTTAGAAATATTTAAACAAATTTCTGTTTTGACCGAATAAAGGATTTCTCTTATCTTTTTAATTAGATTTAATCTCATCGATTCTTTATTGTATCATATTATTAAATATGAGAACTCACTATGAATACTGAATGAATATGTTCACTTTTGTAATTTTTGTTTCGAAATACACAATTAATTGACTCCAAGGTCTTATTACTAGTCGAATAAAATCTCTTAGAATTCTTAAGATATATCTAAAATAATCTTAAATAGAAGATTAAAATGTAAATAACGCTCTAAAAAAATTCCGAGTTTGAGGCTGCGATCGTTTTGGACATTGACGCGCTTTAAACACTTGAAATCATCATTTTATCTTTATCATTTATTAATTGTAAAATAAGAAAAACAAGTAAAAGATGAAAAACGTCCAAATCGACCGCAGCCAAAGTATCGCGATAACTTCACACCGCTTCGACGCCCTTCCACAGATTTGAATTAGTAACGAACGCGTCGCGACCGATATGGATCTGATTTTGAACCGCTCTGTGTTTTTCGCGATTGCTATCGTCCGATAGCGAATTTCTCGTACGTCAAGTATCGAAAACGTTTGCCATAATGTGTCGGAACATCATTATAATACGTCATGGGCGATCGAAGTCATCGCGATCTCAATCGTTGGAGATACGCTTTTTTAACCGTCGGAATCGATCGAAATCATACGCCATGTTACTTTTCGATAAGAACGCGAATTCATGACTATATATCGCCAGGTACATATTTCTTCTATGCGTTGCATATATATATACATATTTTTTTTTGCAAATTATGTTGATTATATTTTTTGAGATTATTGTTTCAAATCTCCAATGTTAATGCGTGAATACTTTCAGAATTCAATCGCGCGCGATTTATTATTTATTATATTATATCGTGTTATCTAAGTATTTTCCTGGAATTAAAGCGCTAAAAACATAGAAAACTTGAAAGATTGTTCGTTTCTGAAAATATTTTATTCGTGATGAAATTGTGTCCTAAAAACAACTTTAATCGAACTTTAATTAATTGATTGTTGATCAATTCAATTGGCGAATCAAAATTTCTAAAT